GATGTTGAGAATGAGTTGTATATTAGAAACGATCGAGATGAGAATATTATAGCGGATGAATCATATATCAAAAAGGATCATAATGGGGGAATTTTGATCAATCCATCCATCCGCATTCTTAAGATACAAGTAATTCACAATCCAACCAAGAAAAGAAAGAGATGTTAGAGAAAGAGGTAATATAGTAAAATGTTATATATTTCGTCATTCAATAAACTTATATATTTGTCATTATATATACTCAATTGATTATGGAATTAGATATTTAGAATTATATATTTGGAATTATATATTTGTCATTAGATACTTATATTTTTCTTTATTACTGGTTAAATGGCTAGTAACGAGGATCACCCATATGATGATTCTATTAATGATGGAAAGAAATATGTTAATGTAGGGGAAAGGGAAATTAGAAGAGGAATAACTATTATGAAGAAAATCATTCATGATAGAAATAGAGGAATAAAATATGATGTGCATTGGAATTCAAATGAGCAACTAATTGAATCTAATGATTATAAATTGACAAGTTACATTTGTTCACTTTTAAGGAGAGAAGTTCCAATTACATGTGATAATTGGAGAAACGAGTAGTTGGATACCACTAAAGACAAAATCTAGAGTGAGATACACGTACCATGTGTGATGTTATTTGTTTTTTATTATAATTATGTCTTTAAATTACTTATACTAATGCACTCTGTGTATGTTTTTCGTAGAGGTTTTTCAATATTGATGATACCAAAAGAGATTATTGTCTTCAATTGGCTGGAAAAAGACATAGAGGATTTAGATCTTATTTATCAAACAAGTATCTAAGAGATGCTGAAAAAAATTTGTTGATGCCGAGCGTCCAAGTAAATATGCAGACTTGATTTCACCAGAAGAATGGTACACTTTTAAAGACAAACGAAGAACCGAAAAATTTCAAAATACGAGTGTCATAAATCACATACGAGCATCAGGTCCCACGTATCCATACAGAAAAGGGCGTACGGGATATGCACGTTTACAACAAAAAATAGTAAGTATTTATGAATTGCAATGATATACTTGTTCATCATGAGTTATAATTGATCTAATTTTTTTCTAAATGTGTAGCTAAAAGAGGAGAATAGTTCTGAAACATTTGTTCTGGAACATGTTTTGTGGAAGGTTGCCCGTGTGGGTAAGGATGGAGTTGTTAAAGAAGAGGTTCAACAAATTTTTTAGAAATGTGTATGTATAACATTAATTGTTTAATTAAATCAAAAGTTTATTAACATATAATATTCATGCTTTTTCGATATTCATATGAATTTCAGGAGAATTTATCTTAGTCTATATCTCCAGATGACTACAATGATTGCAGGAGCATAATTAGTCGAGCATTAGATGTTCGTGAGTATTCCATTCGGGTGAGGGGTATGGGACATGGGGTCACTTCAACATCCTTGAAAAAGAAAAATCCAAAGACAAAATCTCCTATCAATAAAAAACTGCAGGCAAAGTTGCAAGCATTAGAAGCTGAAGTTCGTGAATTGAGAAAGGAAAGCGAAAGAGATCAATCAGAAAGGGAAGCTTCGGGTTTTAAAGATACTAGTGACAAAGTTAGTGTCACTTGTAATGTTCAACCGAATATTCCCGAGGTAATTATATATATCATTATGAAATTAAATTAGTATAATTTATTTAATTGACATATATATATATATATATATATATATATACACACATCAACAATGTCATATTTATTATTGGTTTTAGAGCATTTCACATTGTCAACTCTATTTATCGTTATTGACTTATTGAATGGTTGGCAAGGGGAAAGTGCATAATACTTTGGGAGAAGTACTTCACCATAAACCGCTCCCTGCTGGATATTTAAAGGTATCAATTGATATTGCTTTAGAGGGGGTGCGTTATTACCAATACCAGACGATGTTTCAGATGCAACATTGGTGGGAGAGGCAGTAGGTGCATATGTTACATGGTCGTCAAGCCTCATTCGCGTAGATGGTGAGGTATACTTAAAACCATTATGAACCTTTGAGTATTCAAAGTTTTTACGAGCATTTTATGTACATTTTTTTACATGGTAATGTTAGACTCCTACAAAACCTAACTCAAAAGATAAGGGGATTATGCGGCAAACCGAGTCAGTTGCATCAAAAAAAGAGGTATAACACAATTATATGATATTTATGCATAGAATGATCTTATACTTCACCTAACTAATTATATGATATTTAGATGCATGCTAAAGAGATTGAACAAGTCGGTACGGGTAAGAAGACCGCGGCTAGCCAAAAATCTACTTCTCAGTATAGGTCGTGCCTTCAGACATATGTAGGAATAACAAATATTCCAATTGGTGGTACTTATCTTATACCTATGAAGGCAGACATTTTTGGTTATGAATACATGGAAGCAATTGGTAAAGAAGATATGGATAAAGTTTTTTAACATTTGACTTTAGGCCTCGGTGTTATCGATACATACATCAGGTATACTCTGATCAACTTTGTTTAATTAAATGAACAATTTATTTACTCATTTCAACGAATATAGTCTAATTTTAATGATGTTTTTATTTAAGGTTTCTGTATGACAAAGTGATGCGCCCGTGTGGATTGGAAGAAAGATTCTCTTTCTTAGCTCCCAACGCCGTCAACGCAGGGTTAATCGTAACAAAACCAGATGATGTCATATCGTATGTACTCGGTTTATTTGTGGCCGACAAAGATAAAAAAAAGTTGTTCTTTTTACCATATAATACTGGCAACGGGTTAGATTTTCATCCTAACTTCATCTATTATAATTTTTTGTTTTTTGACGTTGTGTAGAAACTTTCCATCTAACATTTGTTTAATTTTACAGTGGACATTGGTTGTTGCCTGTGATTAATCCTATAAGAGAAATTGTATACTATCTGGATTTGTTATACAATGATTGGATAAAATACCCATATTTGAAGAAGATGATTGATACGTAAGTGAGATTGTTTTAAATATTCATGTGTATATTTATTTATCTATATGAGATTTTTCTAAATAGTTATTTATATTTTATTATAGCATTCTACAAGCTTTTCAATCACAAAGGGGTATTCAAGTACCAAATAGTAGAGCCAACAACATTACGTGGATCATAGTGCGGGTATATTTTAACAATTTTGATGATATTAGTGATGATACTTGATAAAACAAGTTAAGGGTTATATCCTGATATATATTTGTATTTTTTTCTTTCCATGTGTAGTGTCCTCGTCAATGTAATGGTATAGATTACGGTTATTTCATCTTGAGGTTTACAAAATAAACGCTTCTTTTAGACCGAATAGAGATTCCATCCACGATATGAATTTCTAACTTAGGAATTATTTTAATATTTCTCATAAAATGGAATAGTGTTTTAACTAAATCACATACTATGTTATATTACTATCTAGTAATTTGACGAATTCAATTGTGCTCATTACTCAAAAGATCAATTTGATGAACTTATGGAGGAATGGTGTCAACTCATTATGGAGTTGAGAATTTTATAAGGTATATTGTATTTCTTTCATTGATGAGAATTTTGAGTATAAATTTCGAGTTTTGAGTATAAATTCGAATAAAGTTTTGTTTTATCAAGGTATGAATTTCGATCTTTTTGTTTTGTTTCAGGTTATAGGTGCAGATGTAGAAGATAGAGCTAACAAGTTCATTGTTGTTGTTTTTTTAGAAATTCTCGAAGATAGTAATATGTAGATTAAACATCAATTTAGAATTTTAGAATTTTCAAGTTGTATCATCAATTTTCAAGTTGTTGTTGTATATATCATTAATTATATATATGTAGTTTTTTTGTATATAAAAATTTGGTGCATATTTATTGGATTGAAGCTACCAAATCTGATGCAAAATATGGTGAAAACCTGGTGGAAAATATGGTGAAAATATGGTGAAAATTTATTGTAGATATTGAACACCGCTTTCTCTAAGTGAAAATAAGTCAAATATTTAAAAAAATTGTGAATATTAGACAGCGCTTAATGAGAAAAATGTTGTCTAAAGTGGGGAAAAGCGCTGCCTAAAGTGTGGAAAAGTGCTACCTAAAATGGGAAAGCACTGCCTAAAGTGGGGAACAGACAACGCTTTTAAAGAAAAGCGTTGTCTAAAGGGATGCCTAAAAGGTAAACCAAAAGCGTTGTCTAAAGAGAAAGTGATGCTAAAGGAATACTTACCAAAGCGCTCTCTAAAGAGAAAGTGTTGTTAAAGGGGTGCATAAGAAAGTGCTTTTAAAGTAAAAGCGTTGCCTAAAGGGGACATATAGTAGCGCTTTTACATTAATCCAAAGCGCTACATTTACTTATAGCAGCGCTGGTTTAAGCAGCGCTTCAAAGCACTGTCTATGTGCTTGTTTGGCATAGTGATGTCTCGTCTCTTAAAATTAACCAACACACATGTGTTTTAAAATTTTTAAAGGTGAACTACGAGTATCATGATCCCCTATTGCACAGAAGGTGGTACGTAGGCCTAAAGATTCTCAACCGCGGCGGGTGCAAAAATTGTAAAAAATATTTGTTTTCTCACCTCCACCGTCTATTTTTGTATACAATATTTATAGCCAAAATACCTTCTCTTTGCATAGCCAACCCCCGAACTTAGATTTTCTCCCCCTCTTTTTGGGTTATTCGCTCATATGCTTCGATCATATAACAACTTGTTATGTTACATGATCGAAAGCATAAAAAAATGTACCTTGCACAATGAACAAACACGTCAAAAAATAACCAGGCACGACAGTATGAGATCATGAACAAAACAAAGAAAAATAAGTATTTTCTATTAGTTTTTATGTGAGCAAAATTCTAAAAAAACTAAATAATTAATTTCTAAAAATTTTCAATATATTCTATTATTTTTTATTGTTTTTATTATATCAATTTTTTTATTAACACATCTAACAATTATGAAAAGAAAAGCTAAAGAAAAACTAAAAACATTATACAAGGGGTGTCAACCTGAAACATGGGGAATGCAGAAGCAGTCTGGGCACTTGGCCCATTTGTAGAAGTGATCCATGAAGAGCATTTTTTTGTTTGCAACATTAGTGTCAAAAAGGCTTCAGGCTTGAAGGAGGGTGCAGTTTGGCCCAATAGACCAATTTTGTTGTGCTTCTTAAATGTTCCAAAAAAACACAATGGGCTCAACATGCTTCAGCCCAGCGAAAACTTATCAGATTATTATTCTATCACTATTTACATACTTCTATTATTAAGAGAAATAAATAATAAAAACAAAACAAAACGATGTAGTTTTATAGCTTTTGTTAGGGTTAGTGACCATTGGTATTTTAGATGAAACAGAGACTTCTTCTCCTCTCTCAATCCAAAATGCGTCGGCTCAACATCTCCCTCCATCTTTGATTCCACTTGACGGTGGGATCGGCTCCTTGATTCCGTCGCACCTGATTTACTTCGCCACATTAGACCAAACGTGACGCCACCGTAAACATACTTTTCCTCTCCGTCTTTGCTCCAACACCACCGTGTATCATTTTCTCTTCTCTCTTCATCACGACTTCACCATATTCTCGCTTCAGTTTCTCGATTTCACAGAAAGAATGAAAAGTATAAAGAGATTGAGAAGAAGATCAACTTACCTACTGGAGAACTCCAGTGTTTCTTGTTTGACAAAGAAAGTGATGAGATACCGATGCGAATTCCAAGTAATAAACTTGACCTTGTGCCTTCTTGATTATGTGATTTCTCTTTTGTTTGTGATTCTTTTGTGTTTTCCTTTTTTATTGTTGTTGATATGTGATGTTGATTGAGCATTGATGATGATGATGTAAAGAAGAAAGTTGAAGACACGCGTGTGATGCATTTTATCGATGCTGAATCATGATGACGAGGCTAAGATTTGAGAAGAGGAAAGCAATATGTTGCTCTGGTTTTTTATTTCAAATTGAGGTTACTGAACACTGATGATGAAGATGACGGGTGAATATCGTTTGCTGCAGATGAAGTTTTGTAAAATTTGTGAAGCTTGCAGTGGTATGAAGATGAAAGAGAGAGTGTTGAGAGGTTGTAGAGGAAATCTCAGAGGAGGAGAAGAAATTGATTATTCTCGGAATCTTTGGAGAATGAATCGTTCTTGAGAGTTGCAGAGAAAGATTGAAGAGAATAATTTTGAGCCAGTTTTTCTCTGTGAGTTTATGCATATCATAAAATGAATCCTCCTCCTTTCTTGTTATATCTTGTTGTAGTTTTGTTGGATCTGATTTGAGGCAGTTAGGAAATTTTGTTGGTTTTGGTTAGGAGTTTTTGTTTTATGTTAGGAGTTAGTTAGGAAGGTTGGAAACTGTTAGTAGTTAGTTTCTATTAGCATTATGTTACGGGTTGGAATTTGATGAGTTGGCATCAGTTATGTTATATTTATGTTGGAAAGTTAGTTACAGTTAGAGGTTAGAAAGTTAGTTTGGATATGTTTCGGTTAACTTGAATCAAGGCCATGGTTTTATTTGAATGTGAATCAGTTTTTGTTCATGTTTCTGATATGGTGCAGAAACACTTATGTTATATTTTTTTTGTTTCGAATTGTATGCAATTGAATAAACATTAGCCCTGTGGATGTCTGAGCTGTGTACATGACTCTTCCTTTGTGGCAGTATCTCACGTTGCTTCAAATTTTATGTTTGAACTCAGTGCAAAGTTTTGATTTTTGTTGCACTTGAATTGTTAGATAATAGACAAACCAAATTGTTGGTTCTAGCTTAAGACATATGTAGTGAACATGTTGAACTAGTGCATATATGAAATTCTTTTCCATGTGAAACAACCGGCTGAAGATCATCAAACAATGAAGTCGCCATCGAACGTCTTTTATCCCACATGAGGGGAAAGGTAAACATCGAGAAAACCTGAGAAGGGAGAAGTCACGGTCTTGCGACCGAGAGATCGAGTAAGGGAGTCTTTCATGAGAGGGGAATGTATTAGCACCCCACACGCCCGTAGTACTCTATAGTATCCACTCTTGTTGTCTATGTTATGGGTGTGTTTAATTTATGCTTAATGTTTACTACTGAGAAGAATACTTGTAAAAGAAAGGAGAAAATAATGTAGGGAAAATAAAGTTGTACTCGCTTGGGCCCTACATCGTTGTCTACGTATCCTTTTTGTGGAATCAGAGTTACCATAGTTCGGCTCACATGTTTTTGTTTGTTTGTGTTTTTTATGGACGATGTTAGTTCTTCCTTCTGTCGCAGCTCGACCTTTGGAGACTTATGCGTTGGCACAGAAGTGAATTAATCAAGTCCTTACCTGAAAAGTGTTTTTTAGAGAAAATGTGCTTGGATGCACAAAAAGGTTTAAGTTTGTTTGTGTTTTGTTACCTTGGAAAAAGTTTTAGGTATGATTAGAAATTTTTATGATTTTCTAAAAAAGGAGAGTTTTAGTTTTAGATGCAATGATGCAAAAAGGGAAGAAAAGAGTCTAAGGGAGACTAGCCTATTTCCAACCTAGTGTTATCATACAATGGTGTCCCTATGATTTGGATTAACAAGAGGGAAACGTCTACCTAATGTTAGCATGCATGGTTTGCAACCTAAGGTCTAACTTGCATCCGAAAAGAACAAGCGCGTCCTAAGGGAACATGGTATATACAAGGATAAAGAAAGAAATCTTGAGGAAGCACACACATAAAAGAATAAGGAAAAGAATTGAAATGCTTTATCCAAGGGGAGCGTATCACCCAAGACAAACAAGCGGGAGTGAGATGAAAAAACAAAAATGTGATGTCCAAAGCGACTGAACACCTAACCAAGTAATAGGAGATTGAGGAAAGTGACAGAAGACAATATGAACAATCACGGAGTATCAGCATCAGTCAATGCGAACTCCTGACAAAATGTGGGGGTTCAATTGCGGAACTCTTCCCCAATTGACGACTCAATAACAAAACAAGGCCCAACTCTGAAGCTTCGTGGTGCGTCACGAGCTAAGGATGACACGGACAAAATTGCAGGGGTTGATTGCTAACCCTCCCCGCTCGCCTCCTTTTGAGGACTTCAATAAGGGATGGGGAATAATACGGGCACAAATATAAACACACTTGCAAAATACCTACACAAAGGTAGGGTTTTAAACAAACCACACACAAGTAGCAAACATAATACACACAATGCGAAATTGCATTAAACAGGTCTTTAAATAAACCAGAGGGGTTCCTGACATGATCAGCAACGGAGACCCCTGTCATACATCTCTACCCTACTTCTCATGGCATCATAAAGTAGTAAAGCCCTACTTCTCATGATTTCTAGAAAAGCAGTAAAGAAATGCAGTAAAGTGTGGAGAAGTACAAAGGTAGTAGCAGCGACTACCACAAGCAAGCAAATCATCAAGAACGGACGAAAGCAATGGAGAAGCAGGGAGTACGCGTCAAGCAATCTTCACCAAGAAACAAACAAAGTCAGAAACAATGTCCAACTAAGATAAAAGCAAACGCGTGTTACGAATGTAACGCGTAATCAAAAGTTCCTGCATAAAGCGTCATATAATATCACATGCATCAGGACAACATATAATATAATATGAATTTCTCATGACGATAATAAGGAACGTCGCATCAGAAGTGAGCATAAGTCGTATGCTTCGATAACATAACAACTTGTTATGTCACATTAGCGAAAGCAAAAAAGTACCTTGCACAATGAACAAACGCGTCAAAAATAACATGGCAAAACTGCATGAAAATACGGATGAAAACAAGAAAGAAAAAGCATTTTTTATTATTAGTTTTTTACGTGAGAAAATTCTTTTAAAAACTAAAGAAATTACTCCTAAAATCAACTAGAAGTTTTAACAAAGTTTTATTGATTTTATTACAATTTTTATCATAACAAAAATATAGCCAAAGAAAAATTATTAAAATAATTAAAACAACAAAATTAAAACAAAACTAATGAATCAAGGAGGTGTGAGTTGACATCCAGGGACTATCTTCAGCATTAAGAATGAAGAATTAATCCCAACCAATATAATCCATGAGCATTTTTGTTACAAGCATAGCTACCAAAAAATGGTAGTAATAGGCTCTGGCCATGGGAATCGGCCCAGCATTCACCAATCCATCAGCTCCAGTTTTTTTTATTGTATAAAAAAAGATTATCAATCAACAAAATGATTAATTCTAAAAGGGCAAGATAGATTGGACCGGTGCGTTTTGTCTCGTGCGACTGTGACCTTTCGTTCTCAAAGAACACAAGCTGCTTCATGGGATTTCCGGCGAGTCTTCTCCGTCATAAACACCACCGCCAACGACCATGAGACTTAATTCGCCTACACCAATCTCTTCGTCTCAACCCTCTCAACAGGAATCCAACAATTTTTTTCATCAATTTCAATTCTCCGGTTTTACATCTTATTAAAACATATAAACCCTAAAGTCTTTGATAATGCAAATCAAGAAAAGACGAAGGGAATCCATGTTGTGACTCCATGGGGCCATTAATCTACATGCTTTTCTCCACATACTCATTTCAATAAATCATTGAAGAGTAAAAAAAAAGTGAGGTTCCGGATCTTACCAGTCGGAGACGCTCCGATGGTGTTTCAAGCGTGATTTAGGTATGCGCTCTTGATACTTCGCTTCTATTTTCTTCTGTCGCCAATTCTCCTTCTGAATTGTTGTGTTATGATGTTGTAATGATTATTGCAGGTCGTTGAGTGGTTCAGAATAGGTGAACATTGTGTATGTGTTTCTGCTATAGATTGATGAAGATGCCGAATTATTGGGTTGTGTAGTGACGATGATCAGTGCTCGAAGATGAAGGTGTTGAAGCAGTACTACGTGATTGTTGTATTTGTTGTAGAGAGAAGTTTGTGATTGATGGTGAATTCTCGCACTGATATGAAGCAAACCAAGATGAAGGTTGAAGAAGACGATTTATGTGTGTGTGTGTGTGTGTGTGTGTGTGTGTGTGTGTGTGTGTGTGTGTGTGTGTGAGAGAGAGAGAGAGAGAGAGAGAGAGATTTGTGATTCTTCCAAAAGATTTCAAAATGAAGGTTATGGTCATGAGAGAACAAAGTAGAGAGATAATAGAGTGCAGAGGGATCTTCCAAAGAGAGTTTTTTCTTCTTGTTATTTGATGGTGAGTTTTTGTTATGAAAGCATCGTGAAATCCCTCTCTTCTTTTTTTGTTATTCCAATCTGTTATCTCTTTCTCTTTTTTTCTATTATTCCAATATGTTATCTCTTTCTATTTTTTCTGCTACACTCTGTTTGGAAAAAATGTTGGAGGTTAGTTAGGAATTCTGAAAGTTAGTTAAGATCTGTTATAGAGTTAATTGGATGAAGACAAGTTAGTTATAAGCTGTTAGATGGAAACTGTTATAGGGTATGAAATTCTGTTTTGGATTTAGTTACAGTTAGGAGGTTAAAAAAAACAGTTAGCTAGGGAATTCTCTTATGAACTGTTAGTGAGTTGGCTTTTTATTTGAACTGTTTCGAAAATTTTCTTTGCACTTTTTGTTTTGGTTTGAAAGCATCTTTCTGATTGTACTTATGCAGGGCTGCAGTTATCCATTAAACTGAATAGGACATCGAGTTTATTTGGTGAACTGTTTTGGTATGAACTGGATTGTTATGAACTGGTTTGGTATGAACTGGTTTGGAATTATGATACGGTGGCCAGAACCGGGACGTGTTTCCCTATTTTTTAAGGAATTTGCTGGTTTGCGTTTTGCGTTTGTGTTTGCAAAATGTCGCGGTAAGCAAGAGTCGCCACCGACTTTTATTTTATCCAACAAGGAAAGGAAAAAAGCACAGAAAAATTCCTTTTTCGAGATATTTCTGAGTACGGGGGGTAGATTATAGAAAGGGAAGGTATTAGCACCCTTTCTATACGTAGTTATCTACGGGCTCTTAGATACTTGCTCATCATTTTCAAAATTGTTTTCTTTGTGTTTGTGTGCTTTGAAAAGTTTTTATTTTGAATTAGATTTAACTCTTGCTTCTGTCTTCAAGAGTGTAATGAAGTGTTTTTTTTTTGAAAACTTTGTTTGTAAAGGAGTGTAAGTGTGAAAAATTTTGTTTGAATTGAGCAAATATTTAAGAGCTAATCTACTTACTCTAAAAAGAATCGTTCTATGCTTGTTTCCTTTAGACAAAGATATCCAACTATTAGTGAGTAGGTAGCATCATCGTTGGAGTTTGAGGGTC